GGCTGTGGATCAACATCACTGCTCTCTCTAATATCTTGGTCATCGTCATCATCATCAGAAAGGTCGATAATTTCGTCCAACAGATATTCTGGAATTTCATCTTTGTCCTCCCCTTCTTCCTCTTTTTCTTCATCTTCCGCTTCTTCAAAGGTGTTTTATACCACCAACAAATTTCAGCGAGAATTGCATCTGGAGATTTCTTTCCTCTGTACCTGAAACGAAAATAGTTGTCAATCGTTAACATGTTTAAATTGTGCACTCTGACAAAGATATTAGAAAAATCTAGGAATTCAAAATATGCACTCTCTATAGTTACTTTATTTCAAATGGAAGCGCAGTTTGGTGATAACGTTCGCTTTGCTCATCAGATTCAGTTGGAAACTGTTGAACGAGTTGATCAAGATGCTGATGCAAGAGATGAATTTTGTACGACATATTAACCCCAACAAGTTTAATGTGGAGCAACGGCAACAAAATTTTCTTTTCCGTCCAATGCGACTATTCCAGTTATGCTGTTTGTACTGGTTTCTTCCTTTAATACCTTCTCCGTATCGTGAATCCCAATCGCACAAAAAACACGGATATTTTGGACGGCCAGATGCTGTTAAGCCTGTAATCAATGAAACTATTTTGAGGCCGTTATATTTGACTACTTCCCGAATGTGTTTCAAATTATCGAAATTTTCACTAGTGTCAGTGCTATACGCAATTGGAACAGAAGGCATTCTATTCGTCTTGTGCAAAAGCACAACTTTTAAGCTGATTAGTGAACTATCGATGAATAAACGCCAATCATCTTTTTTATAGGTTAACCCTATCGTCTCCATTAACTTTTCGATATCGTTGCAATAAGCGAAATTTTTTGCATCATTCACATTGAAGAACTTTTCTAACTCTTTTTGGCGTTTTCGATATGCTGTTACTTTGGTACCTTTCGCCAGAAATTATTTCCTTCCAAAAATGAAGCCAGTTGTTCTGATTTTTTCTGAGTCAAACACCAAATTGCAACAATTGCATCCAATTGCTTTTGTGTGACTAGGATTGGGTCCTTTGATGTTTCATAGGATGTACCTTCACCAGGGTCGTATTCTGAGAAGAAATGCATGGATATAGCAGCGGCGCACTATGGGCGATTTAGGTGAAAAAATTTTCAAAATCAAATTGCACCTCTCAGAGGTGAGATAAATCTACGATTTATTTTTTCCTGTAAAGGATTTTTATTGTAGAATAAGGTAAAATTAAAAAGAAATGCGACTCTGAAGTTGCACAATTACAGGACTCATGGAAAGGACGAGAATTAAAAAAAGATTGAAAAAATAAAAAAATAAAAATAGCATGACTCGTAAATTAAATAGAATCAACGTGGAAGTATAAACTTTCAAATAAGACCAATATCAATACAATCTATGGGGCCATTCCAGTGTTATGCGTGTTATATTTTTTACGCTAAGGATTTTTTGTTAATGTCATCAGATCTACACCGTTAATTCGATTTTTAAAATGTATGTGCCAAATTAAAGGGCTTGACATTTAGATGTGCAGTAAGGTTTAATTTTTTTAGAGAGTTGCCACCTCATAAAAAATTGTATTCAAATTATTTAATAAGGTTAATGAATTATGTACATTTTACAATATGGGTATCAATCGGAATAGCTTTGAAAATGCTTTATTTTTAAACTAAATGTAGGAGGGTTGCCACCTGTTTAAAAAGTTAAATTCAATTTCAGCGTTTTAACCTTAACTGGTAGAATAATTAATAATAACACAATCAAATTGAATATAACATGGTCAACATGAAACATAAGTTATTCGTTAATAATTGAACTTCACTTACTTTTAAATTATCGTGCATTCTTAATAGAAGAAAAAAACACAATTATATACAAGATGGGCGGACAAAAAAGAAGAAAAAATAATGAAGGAAATGGTCGTTCGTTCTTTTCCGTATCATTTATAGACAGATTGTTAATGCAGAAGGAAGTGAAACAGAAGACGAGAGCATCTCTAACAATGATTCTGATGAAGAACTTATTATATAATTACACAAGTTTACAAATTCAGGTCAACTTTTGGATCTGAGCA